ACAACCTTCCAGTTTGGACCGTTAAATAAATCGTCTACGTAAAAAACTTGCTTTGCTTGAGATGCAAGTACGAAAGGTTCGTTTTCGTACCACATGTCTTTAACAAAAACACTTATTCTATTTTTGTAGTGTTGAATCCTTTTCTTCCCCGGACGAGTGTCAAACCACAGACATTTAAAAAGCATAACAGAATTGTCGTTCAAGTAGGACAGTTCATAAATATGGCCACAAGAATTTAAAAAGCACCACATACATTCATGGTTTCTACATTTCACACAAGGAAAACTGATATGGCCAATTGAAGTTGCATAATTTTTAGCGACGTCAATAAAAGCAGATAACCAATTCCAATATTCATCCAACAATCGGTTCCTCAAATAAGTCCAACTTTTGTCAATCGACATTTGAACTATAAACAACAACAGACATAACAATTTATTTATGTGTTTAATTAATTTTAATTCTATTCTTTATTAACACAATTAAATTTTATTAATTAAAGTTTCTTAATGAACTTATTAAAATTCTCGTTTTTTAACTAAATTTCGGCAGCATGACGACTTATTTTCATATGATCTAAAAATCAAAACCTGCAGAAAAATAACTTTTAAAAGATTTCGGCACACCATAGCTACAAGATGTGCCACCCAGAACAAGAATCATAAACATATACTAAATTTCAACAATATAAGAAAATCATAATTCAAATATTATCATCATAATCCTAAATTCATACAACCAAAAACTACAATAATTTTAAACTAAATAAATATAAAAAACTTACAAAGTTCAAACCCACTAAACGGGGGCTGAAAATAGCAGAATTACGTCAGAGGAACCGTGCAAACAGTGACGGAGGTGAAAAATCAAATGCCTACATCAAAACATTTGAACTATAAACAACAACAGACATAATAATTTATTTATGTGTTTAATTAATTTTAATTCTATTCTTTATTAACACAATTAAATTTTATTAATTAAAGTTTCTTAATGAACTTATTAAAATTCTTAAATTCTAGTAAATTTCGGCAGCATAACAACTTATTTTTCATATGATCCAAAAATCAAAACCTGCAAAAAAATAACTTTAAAAGATTTCGGCACACCATAGCTGCAAGATGTGCCACCCAGACTAAGAATCATAAACATATACTAAATTTCAACAATATAAGAAAATCATAATTCAAATATTATCATCATAATCCTAAATTCATACAACCAAAAACTACAATAATTTTAAACTAAATAAATATAAAAAACTTATAAAGTTTAAACCCACTAAACGGGGGCTGAAAATAGTAGGATTACGTTGGAAGAACCGTACAAACAGTGACGGAGGTGAAAAATCAAACGCCTACATCAAAACAAAACATCGAACATAATTTTCAAACACCAAAATTAACATTTTATTAACATATAGAGTAACATATAGACATAATTCTTGATTAATTAAATTCTCAGAACCATAAAAAATGACTAAACTCGAACAAAAATCCATAACATTTTATATTTTCTATTTCCTTCTTCCATTTACTCGGCAAGTAACAACAATCCCTAACAAAAATCCCTAAAAATTCCTAACAATCTTCGAATCAATGCAAGTAACCAAACAAAAACAAAATTTACAAAAAGAAAAAAAAAATAAAAAAACAAACCTGAAATTCTGTTTCGAGCGGGGCGGCAGGGGCGGGGGGGGGGGGGGGGGCGGGGATGGGAACCAGAGAG